AACTTCTGGAACAATGAATAGACGAGACCGAAGCACAGATGTCTGGCCATAACGCAGTGAAAGCCAAACACAAAACACCTCATACCAACTGTCATACCAACTGACAGTGATGATTTGGGCTTGTTTTGTTGCCACCTGGACACCTTGGAGTCACTGAATCAACCATGAGCTCCTCTATATTTTAGAGTGAAATCTGAGGCCATCTGCCTGATAGTTAACCTTGTCTAAAACTGAGTATTGCAACAGAACAATGGTCTTAAGCACAGCAACAAAAACTACAACAGAATCACTGACAAAGAAAAGAATCAAGGTGTTGCAATGGCCTAGTCAAAGTCCAAACCTCATCCCAAGACATTCCTCCTCAATGATTCCACATTTTCACAAGCTACTGAATGTTACTGAATCATACAAAGAAAATTTAGACACAATAGGTATAAAAGAGTCTTTGTAGGACTAACTTTAGTTTCCAACAGGAAATATTCAGAAAAAAAGTTAGCTATAATTAACTTTAAGCTGAAGATTCCATGCTAACACTTGTGGTCCTCAAAAGGGGTTTCATTTTACCTCAGGTTATACATAACACTCTACCCCACAGTCCACTGAGTGTAAACACAGGGGCTCACCTGCTATTCTCAAATGATGTGTGGAGGCCCACTGTGTGTGCTGTGGGGCTAGTTCCAGTGTTCCTGTAGGATTTTACATAGAGCACAAATTATTATTGCAATATATTTCACACACAGTTATGAATTAACTCTTAGATTACTGCATCAGTACTTTGTACTAATTTGTACTCATTTTTCCTTAAAAAAAAAACTTTAGTAATTATAAAGGCTGATCAAATTCTTGTGTGAATTAACCCACAATTAAAAACAGTGCAGGTGACCCACCACTAGAGAGAGAAAAGGGAGAAAAAAGTACAGCAAAGGCTACCTGGGAAGTAAATAGCCTTCATCCTGAGTAAGTCATATGATCTGCTGGGAGACTCTGGTTAATGCTAAACTAAGGAAGCCCTGGGAAATCTAATAATATATATAATAATAAATATTTCTCCTCTGAGAAATATTTGTTTTTTATGGGTTTTTTTGTTGTTGTATGAAAGTAGTTGATGAATGGAAAAGCAGTAAAAGCTAATAGAGTATCCTGTTATGTATAGATGCTGCAAAAAGGACATCAAATATACAATCTAAAGAAGAATGGTAAATGGCCTGTATTTGTATAGCGCTTTACTACTCCCTAAGGACCCCAAAGCACTTTACACATCCAGTCACCCACCCATTCACACACACATTCACACACTGGTGATGGCAAGCTACAAGAACTGATGACATGTCAGATTACACAGAGGCAGTTTTGCCTCTACGCACTGAAATTTTGGTTTGTGTGCACACTGGGATAGAACAACAGGGATAGAAAATTGTGAGATTTTATGAACAAGGAAAGTGTACATTTCATTCATTCATCACTCCTTAAGTTGCAGCACAAATAAATACCAAGAGAGTATTTCCAGAGATATTACAGGAGGCAGAAATGGTATTCAGACAATCCAACAATGAATAGAAATCTAAAGGAGAATTCAGTAACACCAAAGATAGTGGCTGATCAAGATCAACTTTAGTATCCCCGAGGGGCAATTTGCTTTGTAGCCAGCCAAGATGTGCCAAGAAAAACACAAATCACATCATAGAATTTTAAAAATGAATAGTGGTAGGAGCAAATCTATTTAAATCTATTTGTTCTGCAATTAGGCAAAGAATACCTCCTCCCTTAAGTCAACAGCTGACACTCTGAAAACACAGGATGTGTGCTATCACCCGAATTTTTTCTCCCTTCAATTCTGCTGCGCTGCCTCCAGGAGGGCAGATCATCTAGCTTTATACCTGCCACTTTACTACACAATTGAATAACATGCTCCAACCTTTTCTTGTTCTTCAAGCTAAGAGACCCAAACCAGCAGATTGAAGAAAAAGTTAAAACAGACTCAATAAAAGACAAATAGAACATTTTCCTAAAGACATTATCCAAATTAAAACCCCTAGGTTTCCGATACAAATACTCATGCTGGTTCCTAAAATATACAAATAAAGCTGGTTTTAAGAAATATTACAGCAACCTCACTACATAAATGACAATAAAGCACCATTATCTGAACACACACAGTAACTACACTAGGGTTTGATGTGTGCATTTTCTGTGCTAGCTCCCTAAGCAGGCAAGCTGTCGTCAAAACTTTGAAAATCTCTGCTAAGCACTAGCCTGGCACTGTTTGTGCAGTGCGACAAATAACAAAACTCCACCAGCCTCGCACTTATAACGCTACACTCATGTTATCAGCACTTGAAACATTACAATGGTGATACTGTTATGAAAACTGTCATTCTGCAAATGTGTCAGCTCTGCATGGAGACTCTGGGATTTGTAACTACTCCAAGCTGCCAAGTGACTCAGCAGTCACTGAAGAAATACGAAGGACACAGCATTCACTGCATCAAAGAATAATAATACTAATAATATATATATATAAATATATTTTAAATTGCATGGCATTTGTGAGAAGCCCTTTATCCATTTCTTTTCAACACTGATAAAGTGTGCATTCCAAGTGGTGTGCTAATCAGGAATGTGTTCAAAGTGGTTCACATTACTAAGCTGACACAGTTAGAAAGGCCCTGAGATTTCCAAAAACACAGTACTTGTTCCACATCTGGGGAAAAAACATGAACAGGATGGGAGTTATTCCAAGTCAACAGACCAAGACTAACTGATACCATGTAGAGACCATTTCTCTGTCAATACTTGTTTGCAGCAAAATAGTCAATTTAAAAACAAAACGCAGACAAAAAAGTTCTCGTTTCAATGTCACTGTAACTAATAAAAATTATCTATCACTAAGTTTAAGCCTTAGGTGACAGAACTAATCTACAAACTGATTAAATCAAATAATGTGACTGCCTCTATAACAGGAAAGGGTGGGTGGGCGACTGTGATAATTATCTCCCAACAAAAATGAAGGACGAATCTCTGCTCCAGTTCTTAAAACCGTGTAAAGCAGCTTCCATTAACACAGCGCCGTTTTACACTCTGTGTGTGTATGGGGAGGGGGGTTACATGCAGTACATTATGCCCAGGCGAATTTTGTGTGACTGTTTGTAAATCTATGTTTTGCATTCAGTAACTGGCTTACTTATCCAGATATTTATCTATTTACTCATTTGGGAGGTGAGGATAAACACACGCTGACATGAATGCTTTTTACATAAAACCAGAGACTACGAAGAGGCATGTTCAGACATGATATACAGTGTGTTTTTTTTTCCAGAGCACTCACCTAAACCTAGTGAGTGCTCTGAAGTGGCTGAGTACCTCTCTTTAGATACAGGATCTAAAGCATTTTATACAGCAAAACACACTATTTGGAATCCATCTAGTCTTGCTATATCCAAATTTGAAATATCTATGGCGTTATGTATGAGGCAAATATCTAACGCAAATGCTATTTGAAATAAAGAAATGTGTTTGTGTATAACAAAAGGATTGTCTGCGGCTTTAATAAATAAATAAATAAGTGTTTATTACACTGTACGTGGGCATTTAACTAAAGACAAACGAGATGCGACAAATGATGGGTTTCGGAACTATTTTATTCATCGGAGGGAGTATGGCTACATTTATAAGCAAGCAATGGTAACATTAAAACAAAACGGTTGCCCCTTTCTGCTGTGCGGTTTGTGCACAGCACAAGTCCTGAAATACAACGACCGTTATCTCGCCATTCGCCCTGTAACAGTCATCGAAACGAAAAAATAAATAAAATAAAAAGATGGGGGGGGGGACTACACCGTTAACTGCTCCTTGTGCTCACACGCCAGCTGTGGAATGTTAAAGCTAGCCTGTTACTAGCTAACGCTAGTTGCCTGAGCCCAGTCTCTATCTGTATGCAGCTCTCTGTTATAAAAGTTGTGGGCGACAGCTAAGTTTTTCGCCTCACGGAAAGCGCTAATCCCAGCGGTTACCTCCCCATTCCCCAGTTCACCAAAGGGAAAAAGTAAGGACACAACGTACAAACTGCGTTAGGTTTAATTCTCACCTTATGCTGTAGTAACTCATGTTTGTCCACGGTTGCTAAGGAAGATCCTCAGGAGGCATAGCACTTTTGTGGTTGGGAAGAACTCAGTTGCTCAGTCCTTAGTTACCGAGCACACTAAAGACAGGGGTTGCTATTGGCTTACCAGTTACTTAGGGGGAAGTTGATTGGTGGACATTCTACAGAAAGGGGGAGTGCATGCCTTGACTGTAGGAGGGGTTTGATTTTTCATTTTATATAAATAAAAACCTGTATAAATATAAGTTTATATAAATGCAAGTAATGTATACGAATGAATTAGCAATGATTTGTCACAAATCTAAAGTTTTAGAAGAAAAACATCCAGCTAAATTTCCACCTGTCCAATCCAACCCAACTGCAATTATAGCAATATAACTTTACTGCAAACTAAATGTGGGTCAAAGTATGTTTTTGTGGAACACGTTAACACTGCTGTGAGGTAGTCTGAATTAATGGTATATCTAACTACTCACAAACCTGCAAGTTACAGGTCTGGCATCTACCATGTAACATAAATGGAAACTAGTGTTTTTCAGTGGTTTCTGGGAAAGTCTTTGAACGGTTGTGTCACTGTAACTGTTAAACACTTATTTCACCTGCTGATGCTCATCTTTCGTTTCAGAAGGGATGCATCCAGGAATCAGCAGCTTTTTTAGGGTCAACACTTTTAGTGTGACGTCTTGACTTACCAAGAGCCAATCACAATCTGGGATGTTGTCTCAATAAATGGAATGCTAGAAGGAGGGATAAAAATGCAGAGCAATCCCAGGTGTAGGGGGGGTCACAGGAAGCCTGAGAGATTACTCAATAATCAAGCTTTCTCTTTCCTCTTAAACATTTATTTTATGCCTATTTTTAAATTGCACAGCAGAATCATCAAAAACAATCTTAAATGGCCCTTCAGAAGACCAGTCGTTAGATCACACAGTTAACTTGAGTATTTATTTTGTGCCTCTTAATTTTTGGATATTTCAGTTAAAGTTAATATAGACTAAACATTCTTCCATGTGTCTGCTATCAAACCATTAGCATATGAATAACAATCCAGATATGTTGCCACAAGTGAGGATTAAATCTACTGTATATAACATAATTTATAAAAACAGTACAGTATCATTAGAATCTGTCTGTCACAAGACAGATTTTAATATCACACCCATTAAACTAATTTACTAAAGTTATATTTTAAACTCATGCATAAAAATGTTGTTCAGAGGGGGTTCATAACAGACTTTGTCAGACGTGGCATTATGATGTTTAGAACTGCAACAATTAGTCAATTAACCAATAAACAGGAAATTAATCTGCAGCTATTATGAGAATACAGACAAATCTTACAATCTCTACATCAACTTTGAATTAAAGCATCTGCCTCAGAGAGATGGCCCCTCTGTTTTAACAACACCATCAAGTTCTTTCTTCTTCTCCATGTCACCTTCATTCCATAGTCCCTCTCTGGCGTGTCAGCCACCAAAATGTCAGGTGACTCATTACATGGAGGCGTACACGGCTGAGCCAGCAGCAAATGTCCACAGGGGGTAGACGGAGAAATGTTCCTTTCCTCCATTGCTTTCGGAGTGTCCACATCAGGAGGTGGACAGACACTGCTGACTTCAGTGGTGCTAAACTCTTCACAGGGAAGTGTTGAAGCACAGACTGCTGGAATTCTGCATCTCTCTGACACTTGCACAGATGGTCTGTCAGGTTCAGCCAAACATCTTTGGTGGGATGAAGTGTCGTCTGAGAATGTTTCAGCGCTCTTTTTTCTTACTGAGGCAAACTGTCCCTTTGGTAGGTTAGAGCACTGTGCAGCTGAAACTGTCCTTCTCTTTTCGGCAGGTTTCCTTCCCACATGAGTACTCTCTATAGCTTTCTTCTTGGAGATCCCCTTTGGTTGCTGAGTTTGGTCTTTTGACCCTGTTTTAAACAGTAATTGAGGGAATTTGCAGACACTATTTTTCCTGGACAGCTGACTGCAGCTATCCAAGATGCTTGTGGCAGACTGACACTTTCTCCTCCCTCGTCTCACTGGAGGTGCAGTTGCAACTGAAATGTCAAATTGTGGCCTAACCTGAAATATTAAAGGCAAATTAAACAAAATAATCTATGTGAAAATTATTATATGAAATTCTAGCATATGAAGATCAGGTTTATGTTCAGAAATAATTTTTAAGCAAAACATAGCCCACGCCACTTTAAAAAGTATTCATTACAGCTTACCCAGGAATTAAGAGCTGAGCTGCTCTGTGCTTCTGCCTCTGTGAAGAAATCTCTGGCATTGAGTGCTGCTCGGATTTCGGGCACATTTTGGAGTTTGGCTCCACACAAAGGCCGCTCCAAGAATTGTAGCGAAGGCTTTGCTGTCTTTGTAACTTTTCTGGGCATTAAGATAAATCATCACTGAACACCTGGTGGAATAAAAACACGATCAACTGAGGCATCAAATGTCCGCAAATAACCAGATGTTGCTACCAAACCAATACTATATTCGGTTACTACCAAACCGAATATACTTGCTCGTGGGTGCTAAGACGACATTAAACTTACCTTAATGTGCGTATTTGCATACAATAAATACTTATATCAAAAGTTAGTTTTTAGTGTAAATTGTCTTTTCTCTGCCTGCTTTGTTTTCATCTTTTTGTTTGTTATTTCCCGGGTCTTCTTCCCCTTCTTCCTTTTGGTTAGGTTGGGGCTTGACAAACCAACTCATATGTGCATTACTGCCATCTACCGTAGCCACTGTATTTTCTGATTGGTTCTAGTGACGTCGCTATCCTATCTGCTATTGGTTCAAAAACTTCACGTGATCAAAGTGACGGGAGGCCGCACCCACAGCGCCAAAATTCAAAATCGCGTGTGAATCGTATTGACGTCATGTAAATAACATTAAATAAAAGACTGTTTTAGATGTTTTCGGTTATTTTAAACACGAATATGAACCATTACTGGTTGGACTCAAGCTAAACGGAATCTTCTGAAACTTCGCAGTAATATGAAGGTCAGGTTTTTTGCCGTTTGTTGGGGCAGTGTAGTGAACTAGGCACCTTGCTAACGTAGCTTAGCAGACTACCTCAGCGTATGCTAGCGTTAGCTTTTATCGTCAGGTGCAAGAAAACCTAACGCTGGAAAAATTGAATTTGTTTAGGTATAACGACACAAATCAGTTGCTGACTTTAATGTAAGTTATATGGTAATGTTTCAATAATTGTCAAAATGGTTAGAGGGACAAACGTTTCTCGAGTCCCGTAGCTATTATATAACGTTACCGTTTACTCTTGTTGTAACTGTTAATCTTCGTTGTTCATTCTCATTTGTAGTTTTGTTTGTGTGTGTGTGTGTGTGTGTGCGCGCGCGCGCAGAATACCCCTGAACAACTTGGCACATTTCAATGATCTGACCATGAGACGGAGCCCGAGGAGACCCCTGATTCTTAAAAGAAGAAAACTGCCTTTTCATCAAAATGCGACGGATTCACAGCCTGGAGAATCAGGCTCCAAAGAACCGTCAAAACCAGCTGCCGCTCAGAGCTTTTCTGATGGTATCCGCATCATGGACCATCCATCCAAGTCTGATACTCAGGTGGTTGTCATTCCGGAAAAAGCAAATCTTCAAAGTGTTATTGGGGCCCTCACAGCTAAAGGCAAGGAATGTGGTGCCCAGGGCCCAAACAAGTTCATTCTTCTGAATGGAGGTGGGAGTGGCAACAAGTGGGACTATGGACTTGATTCTCAGTCTGCTGCTGAAGCGGCTGCTACAAGGAGTACAGAAGGACATAAAGTCAAAGCTGAAGCTACAAGCAATTTCCCAGGTGACAAATTTCTAACTGAAATTAAATAATAATAATAATTTAAAGGGGTTTTTTTATGTTTAGGATAATGCTTAATGTATAAGTGTGGAATTCAGTGCTTTTTTTCCCTCTCTGTCTGATACTAGTGAATAAGGATGTAAACTGCGGTCCATTGGATGACAGCCTTACCAACATTCAGTGGTTGGGTAAGATGAGCACATGTGCCTTGGAGCCAAAGCAGCTCAGCAGCAAGGAGAACCAAAAACCTTTACCACAGACCTTTCAGGTTCAGTGCTTTTTCTTGTCACTTACCTGCCTTGTTTTATTTATTTTTTTTGGGGGGGGGGGGGCATACTTTTCTGAAGGCAACATTGACCCCAGACATACTGCTATATGTTCCCTAAACACCCTTTCTTGACAAGTTGGTCACAGCTGGGATTTACAATAACAGCAATAGTAGTCTGATTACAGAAAATAGTTACACTGTCAGATTTATTGACTGTTGTTTGTTTGTTTTTTGTCATATAGGCACACAATACACATACCAGTGCAGAAGCTCCTCAGCAACCCATTTCAGAGAGGCCACCATACTCCTACATGGTCATGATCCAGTTTGCTATCAATAGCAGAAAGAACAGGAGGATGACCCTCAAAGAGATTTACATGTGGATTGAGAACAACTTCCCTTACTATAGAGATGTGGCCAAACCAGGCTGGAAGGTACTTCAGAGCTGCTGAAAGTGTGATATGTTCACAGCTCTGCAGCAAGCAGCAGTTTTCAAATACTTTTTCATTTATAATTGCAGAATTCCATCCGCCATAACCTCTCTCTGCATGACATGTTCATTCGTGAAACGTCTCCAGATGGTAAAATGTCTTTCTGGACTATCCGACCTGAAGCCAATCGATGCCTCACACTTGATCATGTGTACAAGGTGAGTGCAGCTGACTCGTTGCTTTTACATCGGTGATATCTGGGAACATTTGTGGTACTTGGCCTGAATGTTTTGTTGCAAGAATGCTTGTTAAATGCTTATTGTTTTACCTTGTGTTTATATAATGATTTTGCTTGAATCCTTGTTTTTCAATTTTTCTTTTTTATGGCTGACACCTTGAGAGTGTTTTGAGATTCCTCATGTTGTTTTTCATCTTATTTTCCCCCTAATCTCACTTCACATCTCTCTCTGTAGCCGGGCTGTGATCCAGTGACTGCCACTGTTCCTGTGCCAATGCTTTTACTGGCTAATCAAGTAAGACTGATTTAGCCCCTTTTTTTTTTGTAGTTCTTCAGGAGCCATCTTTAAATCGCACTCAGGCAGCAGTAAGCCAAGAAGGGCCAGAAAAATCAGAACGTTCATGAATCTATTTGTCACCAGACTTTCAGACCCACAGAGTGTAGCTACACCTGTTTTTGTTGCAGGAGGAGACGAGAGCAGCAGGGAAGCAGAGAGGCTGAAGTCAGTCTGAAAGGCTAATGTGCTTTAAGAGCACTTGTTTCTCCTAATGTCTGGTATCCATACAATCATAAAGCTTTTATTCCTCTCATATCGGTAAAGATGTAGGGTCGGCTATGAAGGGCCAAATTTTGGACAGAACGCCAAGTTACAAGTGTTGTTAAGTGGCAGCACAGTAAGGCTCCTAACTGATATAATTTCTGTCTCATCTTACTTTTCACAGCACCAAAAGAGGACACTTCCAGATGCAAGAAAAACACCAACTAGCTCTGGTGAGTTAAAAGAAATGTATGAGTTGTTTTATAAATTTGAGACTTGAGAAAAGTCAGAGGTTGGCAAACTGCTGTTTAGTTTGGAAATGTGTAGTGCAATGTTGTTGTGTTTTCTGTGTTCAGAGAGAAAGATGAAACCTCTTCTGCCTCGAACCGATTCATACTTGGTGCCCATACAGCTCCCCGTCACTCCTTCTGTCTACCTGGCATCCACTTCTACCCCTTTTCCTCCGCCCTGCTCCCAGCAGAAGGGGAACAATTCACGAGGAACAAAGAGAGTCCGCATAGCACCGAAGGTAATGAATTTCTCATATATTTCAGCTTTTTAAAAATGTGTTGTTGTTGTTGTTTTACTTCTTACGCTATGCAAGTTGCAAACTGCTTTTCAAAACAAGTATTTCTTGGAACTCCCTAGAGTTTACATTGACAACATTATGTGCATAGAGATGAGTATGAACTTCACCCATACCACTAAGATTTTAATGGGAATGGTTGCATGTCTGACAGGTGACACAAAGTGATTCCCCAGCTGTGATGATATCTCCTCAGAAGAATACGGACTTTAAGGTAGAAGTGAAGGAGGAGCTGGTATGTGTTCCAATTAAATGCGAGACCCCCAAAGCTCCTCCAAAGAGACAAGCCAGCAGCTCACGGCGCAAACAGTGTTTTGTTCTCTCTGTGAATGAAGAGCCTGTTCTCCTCTGCCACGAAAGTAATTTCTTTGACTCTGGCGTAGCCTCCGATGCTTCGACATTCCAGGACAATCCACATATTGAGCTGGATGAAGACAAGCATGGGCAGGAAAGCCCAGATAGGGAGTTCTCATTCAAAACCCCGATAAAAAGTAGCAGCCATTTGACCTCATCCACCCCCAGCAAGCCACCTTCTTATGTTGCACTTGAGTCTTGGAAAGTGACCCCGGTGGGCAAAGGAAGCCAAAATATTCTGGACTTCAGCCCTATTCGTACACCGGGTGGTCCCACAGATACTCCACAACACGACTACACCACCTTCAGCTTCAGCAGCACTCCCTTTAAAGACTTGCCTCTGTTTAACTCCCCAAGAGAGCTGCTCACATCTGCTCCCTCCAGAGTGACCGGACCAGCAGAGTCGCCCACCGAATGCCTCAAAAGTAGCTGCTCCAGAGAGCTTCTGCAGGGAGGCAGTTCCACAGCAGCCAATCGCTCAATCACAGAGGGCCTCGTCTTGGATACCATGAACGACAGCCTGAGCAAGATATTGGTGGATATTAGCTTCTCTGGTCTGGATGATGACGACCTTGGTATGGCGAACATCAGCTGGTCTGAGTTCATCCCTCAGTTGAAATAGCCAGAGGGCCGAAACACATTCTATGGCTAAGCAGTGTCACCTGTTTCTTTTTCCCTTATTTTTTTTTCTTTGTGTAAACACTACATGATTAGGCCCACGCCAAAGCAGCAAGACAGAAACAAATCTAGATCTGACACTATTTAAACCATCCGAACTGTCCATATTGAAGAGGATTTCTCTCAACAGAAGGCGAGGCTGTTGATGTAGGAAGAAATTTCTAGTGCTCTAGAGTGCTCTGATTTACTTTGGTTGTCAAATATTCAGAAGCATATCTATCATTATACCAAAACAACTTCAAATAAGGCCCACTTGATGCTGCAATTTTAAACTTCTTATTGGAGACTTATTCGGACCTCCTATTTGCAGTAGTTTAGGAGCTTTTAGCTTCAAGTTTCTTTTACATTTGCTTTGCTGCTGGAGGGTTCTGGCTACCACATGAGGGGGGAAATGTAACATTGATAAATAGATTACAGGGATGCTTCAGTCTCAATTACTGTTTGATGGTTTTACCTTCTCTGAGTTTTTCATTCATTGGATCAATCAATAATTGCCTCGGTGTCACTTCTTTTTCTTTGAATTTCTTCACATATTTGGGCCTCTTTGTGTTTTATGGTTTTCCTTATTTGTGTTATTTGTCTGTCTTCTTGAAGAACATGCATAAGAAGAGAAATATGTAAGTGTATATGTATGTTGATTTGCACATTTTAATATATAATTTAGCTTCTACACAAATTTTAAAGTATGTGATGTTTTCTGATCAGCCAGCAAGATGCTTCACTGCAGTTTGAGTCAGCGTCTTAGAGCTGACTTAGAATAATAGATTGTGATGGAGGATTGCTAGTAATAGGCCTTGACAAATAGCACTAACAGGGATAGGACTGTTTCTTTATTTAACTGTAGAACTGTCTTTATCACATGACTTCATAAATTCTCACAGTAATTGTCCTTGTGTATGCTAATATCACTCATTTCCAGGGCACCTTTAACCTACAAAAAATGCATGCAGTGACTTCATTCACACAGTCTTGGAGTTTAATATTCACTGTAGTTTTTGCAGCCCCAACTCTGGAGGATAAATACCTGTTTTTAAAGATGCCACAAAGTGTTGCATACCTATGACTTCATTAGTCCTTTGTTGATGTGAAACTTGATGGTTTAGTGAGGTTTTGCCGTGCATTGAGGTATTTCTGTTTATATTTCATTAAAGGTGTAAACTATCATAGATTGTCTGTTCAAAAATGTTTAATTCCTTGTTAGTGACGGTACTGAATCATGCAATTTGGGTAAAATTGATTTTATTCTAAACTCACCGCAGGAAAATGGTAGTTTGTAATATTTTTTTTAAACAAATGACATCATTTACCCATTTTTGTCCAAATAAGCAATTTTATGTAATGTTCTTAGTTTCCAATAGGACCGTATGATGGCTTACCGCATTCCAATGGACCAAAAGAATGACACGATGTTGACACAGGTTTGATCTTGAGGTTCTCAGATAATAGTTTGTTTGTGCATGATTCTGCAGCACAAATATGTATTTGCAAGACAAACTGAAATAATTACGATGTATCAAACAGCAAATGCTAAAAGCACCTTTACTCTTGTATTTTTAATTTAAAAAAAAAGATACCATACCCAAAATATTAACTCTTGAAAAAAAAAACCATCACAGGACATTTTGCAGAGTTCGCAGCTGCAACGCAAACAGCAACAAACACTTTGTAGTTCTGTCCTGGAGTTTATACAGGTGCAGTCAGTGCTACTGCTACAAGTAAGCCTAACACCTTCCAGATCAATTTTTTCTGGCAAGAAGAGCTGGCAACTGAGTGAAGGAAAAACCAGCTTGTCCAGTTGCAACAGAGGAAGATTTTGTTGTCTGTCTTTGCCTTCACCAAAACCACGACGCCAATATCCCACATCCCAAAGCAACGGAGGAATGGGCTTATTTTGACAACAACACACAGGGAACCAGCAGTCAGTGATGGGGAATAGAGGAAGCCTGAAGCAAGAAGCAATCCTGGTCTGCACAATTGAATAGTGTGGATGACCTAGACAGGATGTTGGCACCTTGCGTTGCTGGAGGAAAACTAGCTGCTGGGTGCTGGCTTTTTTCTATAGTCTCCTGGATGTCTTGAAATACAATGTCTTTGTCCCTTGGAAACCACTTCACAGGAGTTGGTGGAGTCTAAAACCTAATGATCCTGGAAAAGCTGGGACACATGCTGGTGACCTCAGCCACTGGGGGGGAATCAGAATAAAAGTTTGGTTTTTATGGCAAGGACTGATGCCTGTTTGAAAAATCAAATGGAAATTGTTTTAACATATTTTCATTTTATAGCATTTTCTAAATGTAAACAGGAGGTGGCCACTTTTGGTCATGAGCATGCTGAGTGGGAGTTTTTCTGCTTTTCTGTGCAAAAAAAAAAAAAGTATGATGACTATATAATCATTGATACTGTTAATTACTGATATACATCTAACTGCAATCATGGGGGGGAAAGAAATCAGATTGTATGTATTATTTGGGGAAAATAGTCATTTTATTATTTTATCTTTTTGTAGATCATTACAATTATGTGATCTAACTGGTATTGAAAGGGTTGAAATTCTGAATTTGAATGAAATTTTGGTTTTCATGACCAGAACTGATGCTAATTTAAAAAATCAAGTCGGTCAAAGTGGAAAAATATTTATTTATATCTATATTCATTTGATAGTATTTTATAAACCTAAACAAAAGGTGGCCATTTTGGCCACGAATAAGCTGGGAGTTTTATCTGGTTTGCTTTCCATGCACAAAAATAACAATTCATAATAATCGATGTTGCTGTTAGTCGATTTCATGTCCCAGACTCTACCATTAATAATACAAGAAAATCCAGTAGCATGCGAATAAATGAAATGGTGAGTTTTGAGGTTGTCTTCCAACAAGTACATTGTACAAACAAACTGTTTTCTTAAAGGTTAAAATGTAAAAGAAAAAAAGGAATGACTATTTTATATTTATGAAAAGAACTGATGTTAGTTAAAAACTTTATGCAGTAAAAATAGCAACAACCCCCCATAAAAATAATAAAAATTACACCCCTAATTTATTGGTGGACACTTTTTGCAACGAACAAGCTGAAAGGATTGTGATTTTGAACAAACCCAGAAGGTTAAAAACATTAGCTAACGTCTGTTGTTCGAGAAGCTGGAAATCGTCCGGAAACATCACTAACTGAAGAAAATCAGCCGCTTAAGTGAGAAGTTCAAGATATAAAAGACAAGAAAAAAGGTGCGGACTTGGTTTTACCTAGATGACATTTAACCCGTTTAGTGTACGATTTATTATGATCAGTATTTGAGCTAAATCGGTGAGTTTTCCGAGTTGATCTAGACTGAATTGCTGTGAACGGACTTGATGGCTAACGCCAGTAACTGACTTGATAATTTCCATCTCCCAGCTAAACGTTACCGTTACTGTTAACTCTTGTAACAGTTAATCTTCGTTGTTCAGGCTCGTTTGTGTTTTTTGTGCAGAATACCTCTGAACAACTTGGCACATTTCAATGATCTGACCATGAGACGGAGCCCGACGAGACCCCTGATTCTCAAAAGAAGAAAACTGCCTTTTCATCAAAATGCGACGGATTCACAGCCTGGAGAATCAGGCTCCAAAGATCCGTCAATACCAGCTGCTGTTCAGAGCTTTCCTGGTGGTATCCGCATCATGGACCATCCATCCAAGTCTGATACTCGGTTGGTATACTTTCCCGAAACAGCAGATCTTCAAAGTGTTATTGGGGCCCTCACAGCTAAAGGCAATGAACGTGGTGCCCAGGGCCCAAACAAGTTCATTCTTCTGAGTGGGAGTGGCAACAAGTGGGACTATGGACTTGATTCTCAGTCTGCTGCTGAAGCGGCTGCTAGAAGGAGTACAGAAGGACATAAAGTCAAAGCTGAAACTACACGCAGTTTCCCAGGTGACAAACTTCTAACTGAAATTAAACCATGTACGGAAAAAAATTTTTTTTATTAATGTTTAGGATAATACTTAAAGTATAAGTGTGGAATTTAGTGCTTGTTTTTCCTCTGTCTGATACTAGGGAATAAGGATGTCAATTACAGTCCTTTAGATGACAGCCTTGGTAGGATGAGCACATGCGCCTTGGAGCCAAATTCTACAAAGCAGCTCAGCAGCAAGGAGAACCAGAACCCTTTACTACAGACTTTTCAGGTTCAGAGCTTTTTCTTGTTAACTGCTTTTTTTTTTCTTTGCCCTTTATGTGCCGACACAACCTTGTCTGAAGGCAACATTAACCCCAGACATGTTGCTTTATGTTCCCTAAACACCCTTTCGTAACCAATTGGTCATGGTTGTGATTTATAATGACAGCAATAGTAGTCTGATTACAGAAAATAGTTACACTGTCAGATTTATTGACTGTTGTTTGTTTGTTTTTTGCTATATAGGCACACAATACACATACCAGTGCAGAAGCTCCTCAGCAACCCATTTCAGAGAGGCCACCATACTCCTACATGGCCATGATCCAGTTTGCTATCAATAGCAGAAAGAACAGGAGGATGACCCTAAACGAGATTTACATGTGGATTGAGAACAACTTCCCTTACTATAGAGATGTGGCCAAACCAGGCTGGAAGGTACTTCAGAGCTGCTGAAAGTGTGATATGTTCACAGCTCTGCAGCAAGCAGCAGTTTTCAAATACTTTTTCATTTATAATTGCAGAATTCCATCCGCCATAACCTCTCTGTGCATGACCTGTTCATTCGTGAAACGTCTCCAGATGGTAAAATGTCTTTCTGGACTATCCGACCTGAAGCCAATCGATGCCTCACACTTGATCATGTGTACAAGGTGAGTGCAGCTGACTCGTTGCTTTTACATCGGTGATATCTGGGAACATTTGTGGTACTTGGCCTGAATGTTTTGTTGCAAGAATGCTTGTTAAATGCTTATTGTTTTACCTTGTGTTTATATAATGATTTTGCTTGAATCCTTGTTTTTCAATTTTTCTTTTTTATGGCTGACACCTTGAGAGTGTTTTGAGATTCCTCATGTTGTTTTTCATCTTATTTTCCCCCTAATCTCACTTCACATCTCTCTCTGTAGCCGGGCTGTGATCCAGTGACTGCCACTGTTCCTGTGCCAATGCTTTTACTGGCTAATCAAGTAAGACTGATTTAGCCCCTTTCTTTTTCTTTTCTTTTAGTTCTTCAGGAGCCATCTTCAAGTCACAACCTCAGAAAAATCTGAACGTTCATGAATCTATTTGTCACCAGACTTTCAGACCCACAGAGTGTAGCTACACCTGTTTTTGTTGCAGGAGGAGACGAGAGCAGCAGGGAAGCAGAGAGGCTGAAGTCAGTCTGAAAGGCTAATGTGCTTTAAGAGCACTTGTTTCTCCTAATGTCTGGTATCCATACAATCATAAAGCTTTTATTCCTCTCATATCGGTAAAGATGTAGGGTCGGCTATGAAGGGCCAAATTTTGGACAGAACGCCAAGTTACAAGTGTTGTTAAGTGGCAGCACAGTAAGGCTCCTAACTGATATAATTTCTGTCTCATCTTACTTTTCACAGCACCAAAAGAGGACACTTCCAGATGCAAGAAAAACACCAACTAGCTCTGGTGAGTTAAAAGAAATGTATGAGTTGTTTTATAAATTTGAGACTTGAGAAAGATCAGAGGTTGGCAAACTGCTGTTTAGTTTGGAAATGTGTAGTGCAATGTTGTTGTGTTTTCTGTGTTCAGAGAGAAAGATGAAACCTCTTCTGCCTCGAACCGATTCATACTTGGTGCCCATACAGCTCCCCGTCACTCCTTCTGTCTACCTGGCATCCACTTCTACCCCTTTTCCTCCGCCCTGCTCCCAGCAGAAGGGGAACAATTCACGAGGAACAAAGAGAGTCCGCATAGCACCGAAGGTAATGAATTTCTCATATATTTCAGCTTGTTTTATTTCAGCATGGTGGCATGGTGGTTAGCGCTGTTGCCTCACAGCAAGAAGGCCCTGAGTTCAATTCCACCATCAGGCCGGGGTCTTTCTCCCGTGTTTGCATGGGTTATCCCCAGGTACTCCGGCTTCCTCCCACAGTCCAAAGACATGCAGTTACTGGAGATAGGTTAATTGGAAACATTAAATTGCCCATAGGTGTGAATGTGAGCGCGAATGGTTGTCTTTGTCTGTATGTGCTCTGTGACAGACTGGCTACCTGTCCAGGGTGTCCCATGCCTCTCGCCCTAAGACAGCTGGGATAGGCTCCAGTGACCCTGAAAAGGATAAGCGGAAGCAAATGGATGAAAAACGTGTTGTTGTTGTTTTACTTCTTACGCTATGCAAGTTGCAAACTGCTTTTCAAAACAAGTATTTCTTGGAACTCCCTAGAGTTTACATTGACAACATTATGTGCATAGAGATGAGTATGAACTTCACCCATACCACTAAGATTTTAATGGGAATGGTTGCATGTCTGACAGGTGACACAAAGTGATTCCCCAGCTGTGATGATATCTCCTCAGAAGAATACGGACTTTAAGGTAGAAGTGAAGGAGGAGCTGGTATGTGTTCCAATTAAATGCGAGACCCCCAAAGCTCCTCCAAAGAGACAAGCCAGCAGCTCACGGCGCAAACAGTGTTTTGTTCTCTCTGTGAATGAAGAGCCTGTTCTCCTCTGCCACGAAAGTAATTTCTTTGACTCTGTCGTAGCCTCCGATGCTTTGACATTCCAGGACAATCCACATATTGAGCTGGATGAAGACAAGCATGGGCAGGAAAGCCCAGATAGGGAGTTCTCATTCAAAACCCCGATAAAAAGTAGCAGCCATTTGACCTCATCCACCCTCAGCAAGCTGCCTTCTTATGTTGCATCTTTTAAAGTGACCCCGGTGGGCAAAGGAAGTCAAAATATTCTGGACTTGAGCCCTATTCGTGCACCGGGTGGTCCCACAGATACTCCACAACACGACTACACCACCTTCAGCTTCAGCAGCACTCCCTTTAAAGACTTGCCTCTGTTTAACTCCCCAAAAGAGCTGCTCACATCTGCTCCCTCCAGAGTGACCGGACCAGCAGAGTCGCCCACCGAATGCCTCAAAAGTAGCTGCTCCAGAGAGCTTCTGCAGGGAGGCAGTTCCACAGCAGCCAATCGCTCAATCACAGAGGGCCTCGTCTTGGATACCATGAACGACAGCCTGAGCGATTTATTGTTGGATGTTAGCTTCTCTGGTCTGGATGATGACGACCTTGGTATGGCGAACATCAGCTGGTCTGAGTTCATCCCTCAGTTGAAATAGCCAGAGGGCCGAAACACATTCTATGGCTAAGCAGTGTCACCTGTTTCTTTTTCCTTTTTTTTTTCTTTGTGTAAACACTACATGATTAGGCCCACACCTAATTGATTTGCACATTTTAATATATAATTTAGCTTCTACACAAATTTTAAAGGATATGTTTTCAAGATGCTTCACTGCAGTTTGAGTCAGCATCTTAGAGCTGACTTAGAATAATAGATTGTGATGGAGGATTGCTAGTAATAGGCCTTGACAAATAGCACTAACAGGAACAGGACTGTTTCTTTATTTAACTGTAGGACTTTCTTTATCACATGACTTCACAAATTCTCACAGTAATTGTCCTTGTGTATGCAGGAGTGAAATGTTGTGGTTTCTAGCAGTTTTCAGACCTTGTACCTGACTAAACTGTGTTTCTAAGACAACAATCAATGTGTTGGTGCCTCATATAACATGAAGATTTTTTACTTATGTTTTTGGGTATAAGCAAACTTTGATCTTTTGTCTTGCTCAGATCAAATTTAATTCATGTGTAGAGACAAGGCGTAATTTCTACACCCTGAAATATTCTTCAATACAGCAATGAACCCTTTTGCACATAGCGTATGTTATTTGAAAAACTGTGTAGCAAGACTGCTTATTTCTGTTTATATTTCAATAAAGGTTTAAACTATCATAGGTTGTCTGTTGAAAAATGTCATTTTAACTAACGTTTCAAAATGAACATTTTGAGTGCATCTTTGAAACTTTAAGTACTTTTTTTGTAAGGTCTCTGGTATAAACACTACATACTTGCATAATTGATGCAGTTAGTTTCTCTAAACACGTGGCTCTTTATATAAAAGTAGTACAAAATGAAACATTTGTTTAAACTGTTAAAAATGTCTTCTTAATGTTTTGTCCACGTAGTATCCATGTAGTCTGCAAGTAGAATGCAGGATGCCTCTTGAGTCTTCAGTAAGTCTGGACTTCCTGTTGAGCCACTTCTAGAAGGATCTGTAGCTGTTTGCTGCAGTAGTCTGGGAGAATTGAGGAAAGTCAGAATTAGTTTGTTCACTACAAGCAACTGAGTTTCTCGATTTCACTCATCCTCTTCCTTCTTAACAAAAACAAGCAGGCATATATGATCTTTTGACACTACCAAAGATGCCTATGTTTAATATTAAAAATAGAGCCACTAAATTCAGTCCCATGATGAAAACTATCATGTTAATACATTCTGAAGAAGAATATTGGTACAACTTACCAAATATGCGCCTGCATCTACGGGGCAAACGAAAGCGGTAGACAGTAACATAGTAAACTGGGACACCAGTCAGTGTTAGAGCACAACTTTGTCCTGTGTTCCAGGGGTCAGAGTAAAGAGACAGACCCACAATGAAGAAGGAGACCATTGTGAAGGTGATTCCAATGACCAAGGGCACCTTCACATTACAACAAATAAAACAAGTTGGTCAGCGTAGTGTGCAGCAGTGAGATAAAGGGAGGTTTTTTTGAGTTCAGTATGCTAACCTTAAAAGGTCTTGGGTGGAGAGGAAAACGATATCGATGTATGAGCATCCCCAAGGTTACCAAGGCGATGAAGAACCAGCGTGAAAAGGATGCCAAGTTGAGGAGCTGGTAAATCTCTCCAGTGATTAACATGAAAATTACCAAGGGGTACTAAAGGGACACAGGGACACAAGCAAGATAGTTATAAAGCCACTATTTTAAGAGTATCACATTATATCTCTTTGTCAGACCCTGTGCAACCCCTCATTCCTTTAGATCTGGATTAAGGCTTTGTTTTTCCCATTTTCAACCAGCCTCTTTATCCTGTGCCTGGATCCTATTGTTATTATTCATATGACATGGATAAACTTAATACAAATAAAATGTTATAATTGTTTTACTCCGTATTCTCAATATTAATAATGCAACATAATAAATAGAATAAGTCATCTATTTATTTGTTTAGATTGCTTCAGCTGTTTTAAAAGTAGTTTACCAGGAACAACACAGCAGGTAAAGGTGTGTGTCTGCGGATGTGAATCATGGAAAAGATGGCTGGCCAGTGGCCTTCCCTGGCTCCCACAAACAGCATCCTGCAACACAGAGCTCTCATTAGAATTCAGGCACACACACAAAAAAATGACAATACTAAACCTTTATGGTCCTCAGATTACCTAGGTGCCCCAAAGAAGCCACCGTTAAGTGCTCCAAGGCAAGATATGGCAACAAGAACGGGGATCACAGGAGCCAACCCCTGAAAAGCACGGTTGGCAAATGTCTGCAGAGGCACAAACAGCAGATCAGACCAACAGTGACATACCACATTTACTCTAGTTTTTCCTTTTTTTTAATGATACATAAAGCAAGAAATAGAACTGACCACAGCCACAGCATCTGACAGAAGCACCTCAGCGGGAGTCATCATGGTGTAGTAGGCCACATTAATAAGCACATAAAAGACTGTCACTGCCACAATGGACAAGATTATTGCCAGTGGCATGTTTCTGATAAAGCGGGATACACACAGAGAGATATAACAGCAGGAGGCAACTTGGTTTTCAAAAAAAAACGACAGACTATTGCAGATGTTTCATGCTAAAATACCTATTAGGGTTTGTGACTTCTTCTGTGATAAAGTTCAAATTAAACCTTGAGGAAAAGAGAAAGCCAAGACTCAGGCATAAAGCTTTGATTGTTAGTTACAGTACATACATTGTCATGTAATTTATGGTTCTTTTCACTATTACTGGGGGAAAGAGTTTTGAATACCGTGTGATACACAGTAAAATACATTGAAATTGCACTGATCCTCAAACCACTGTACACTTACCATCCACCATAGGCATAGAGGCCGCTATAGAAGGCCAGTGGCAACTTATCCAGTGTTAACAAATCAACTTCGAAACCATTCTGGAAATTTTCTGTCTTCCCTGCAAAGACAGAGAGAATAAATGAGCTGAATATCAACTCTGTCTTAGGTTTAACAATTAGGTGCTCTCACCTTTGGCCAGTGCAATGAACCCTGGGACGATGATGAGGGCCAGGGCAAACATCTTAATGAAAGTCAAGGTGACTTGAGTGCGAAAGGCCATGTTCACACTCCAGCAATTGACGGCTACGACAAACGCTGAAGCGACACAAAGACAAAGAACTGGTTAAAGATATGTGTTGTTCTACACATAAAGTGCTCCAGACACAGATGAGTTATAAAAGCACTCACTCACTCCAAGGATACTGACAAGTCTGATGAGCACTATGGGAGCAGCACAGGGTGTGAAGAATGGCTCCACCACATAACGACCAAAGGCAAGGGAGACATAAGACGCAACAGATGGCCTAGAGGTGGACAATATCTTTGTGAGTATTATGTTTGAGGCAGTTTAATTTTTTTTTAGAACCAGTAAAAACCATACCTGATGAATACAAACTCAACCCAGAGTCGCAGGAAGGCAGGCAGAGGCCCCAAAGTCTCCAGCAGGTATGTGTAGTGACCCCCTGATTTTGTAAAAGTGGTGCCCAGTTCTGCATAACAGAGGGCTCCTAATAGGCCAGAGGCAGAGCAGAGTTTTGGAGAAATAAGAGTATGACTTTTACTTTATAATTATTAAATGGCAAAATTTTTAGAATGTCTTTTAAGTAGTTTTAAAAGCTACTTTCAGCTTCCCCTTATTTACAACAGTGGGAAAAAAAAGGTAAATGGCCTGTACAGGGAGTGCAGAATTATTAGGCAAGTTGTATTTTTGAGGAATAATTTTATTATTGAACAACAACCATGTTCTCAATGAACCCAAAAAACTCATTAATATCAAAGCTGAATGTTTTTGGAAGTAGTTTTTAGTTTGTTTTTAGTTTTAGCTATTTTAGGGGGATATCTGTGTGTGCAGGTGACTATTACTGTGCATAATTATTAGGCAACTTAACAAAAAACAAATATATACCCATTTCAATTATTTATTTTTACCAGTGAAACCAATATAACATCTCCACATTCACAAATATACATTTCTGACATTCAAAAACAAAACAACAAATCAGCGACCAATATAGCCACCTTTCTTTGCAAGGACACTCAAAAGCCTGCCATCCATGGATTCTGTCAGTGTTTTGATCTGTTCACCATCAACATTGCGTGCAGCAGCAACCACAGCCTCCCAGACACTGTTCAGAGAGGTGTACTGTTTTCCCTCCTTGTAAATCTCACATTTGATGATGGACCACAGGTTCTCAATGGGGTTCAGATCAGGTGAACAAGGTGGCCATGTCATTAGTTTTTCTTCTTTTATACCCTTTCTTGCCAGCCACGCTGTGGAGTACTTGGACGCGTGTGATGGAGCATTGTCCTGCATGAAAATCATGTTTTTCTTGAAGGATGCAGACTTCTTCCTGTACCACTGCTTGAAGAAGGTGTCTTCCAGAAACTGGCAGTAGGACTGGGAGTTGAGCTTGACTCCATCCTCAACCCGAAAAGGCCCCACAAGCTCATCTTTGATGATACCAGCCCAAACCAGTACTCCACCTCCACCTTGCTGGCGTCTGAGTCGGACTGGAGCTCTCTGCCCTTTACCAATCCAGCCACGGGCCCATCCATCTGGCCCATCAAGACTCACTCTCATTTCATCAGTCCATAAAACCTTAGAAAACCAGTCTTGAGATATTTCTTGGCCCAGTCTTGACGTTTCAGCTTGTGTGTCTTGTTCAGTGGTGGTCGTCTTTCAGCCTTTCTTACCTTGGCCATGTCTCTGAGTATTGCACACCTTGTGCTTTTGGGCACTCCAGTGATGTTGCAGCTCTGAAATATGGCCAAACTGGTGGCAAGTGGCATCTTGGCAGCTGCACGCTTGACTTTTCTCAGTTCATGGGCAGTTATTTTGCGCCTTGGTTTTTCCACACGCTTCTTGCGACCCTGTTGACTATTTTGAATGAAACGCTTGATTGTTCGATGATCACGCTTCAGAAGCTTTGCAATTTTGAGACTGCTGCATCCCTCTGCAAGATATCTCACTATTTTTGACTTTTCTGAGCCTGTCAAGTCCTTCTTTTGACCCATTTTGCCAAAGGAAAGGACAGTTGCCTAATAATTATGCACACCTGATATAGGGTGTTGATGTCATTAGACCACACCCCTTCTCATTACAGAGATGCACATCACCTAATATGCTTAATTGGTAGTAGGCTTTCGAGCCTATACAGCTT